TACAGAGCTTAGCATAGCTTCTTGGTAGTTGCATTTTTCCCCCCTGAATGGGCTCTGTTTGCTGGCAGCTACAACTCCTTCAAGAGAGGTCTTCCTGATTCAGCACTGACAGAGACTTCTTTATGGAGGGCTTACTGGTTCAGACTAGTTGCAAAAATAGCTCTCACTCTTTCAATAGGCTGAGCACTTAAATGGGATCATTGAACAGGTGTTATAAATTGCTTAAGGGTGACAAAGACCCACTGCAACCCTGGAGCTGGGGCAATGTGCATGGTTCTCAGAGGCAATGAACACACCTCTTCCATCCATGTTGGACTGGAAGGAGCCAACAGACATTGCCAGAGTTGGTCCTAGCCATGCCTCTTAGCTTTTTGTTTTTTTATTTAAAATGTGAGCTCCTTGTTGAAAAATAATTACAGGTATGCAATAAAGATAGATTCAGATAAAAAAGACCTCTAAATGGATCATGGTGTTGGGAGAGAGAAGAAAAAGAATATGGATAGTTATAAAAGGAGGTAAATGGTTCTCTCTCTCTCTCTCTCTCTCTCTCTCTCTCTCTCTCTCTCTCTCTCCCTGAAAGGGCTTTTAGACACTGTGGCATGGCTTCTACTTAACATCTGGTCTGCTGAACTGAGATTTGCAACTTTAATGCTCTTCTTATTTTTTTCCTCCAGAAGTTGGCAGCACCTCTGTAAAGCTGCTAAGCAGAGGCTGCACCTGTACACCCTTCACTTAGATCCTCACTTTTTGTGTTGCAGACCCACTGAGTTCCGGTCATTTAGAAGGTACATCATCTTTTGGAGCTCCTAAACTGAGCAAGTTTGATAAATACAGACCAGCCATCAAAGTACTAAAGGAGCTACCCCACCTGAACAGTTAATTTTATAATCAGTTGAAGAGAAACTGCAATCTTAGATACCACTAGCAATATGCTTATACTATGCCACATAAAATTTTCAATTCTGCCAACATTCAACAGCTACTGAACCAGTTGGTATATTATAAATATTCTAATCAATACTATTTTGTCCTTATAGTGTTTAAAAATTTAAAAAAAATATTTGTAGCCTACTTCTTTTGCGGATCATACCCTAAAAATTCTGCTTGAAGAATCTTACTCAATCCCACAGCTACCTCCTTATCTGTGTGCTAATCATGCCCTAGAATTCAAGATTGTTGCTATCCTTTGGCAGCGTGGAATACCTACTTGTAGTTAAGACTGACTGTATTCACGCTCTAACTAAACTTTTCATTAGCCAGCATCTTCAGTTTGGACTAATAAAGACACTGGCCAGAGACTAACGTTCTCTTTTACTTTCAAAATTACTTTGACTAATGAATGAACAGAAAATTGCTAAGAGTAAATATGTTTGAAGCAGCTGAGGAGCTTTGAGTGGGTTATGGCTGCTGCGGAAGGGAGACGTAGCTTTCTTCAGAGGTGTGGCCAATCTCTGCTGTATGGTCCCATGCTGATGTGTGTAGGGGCAGCACTAATAAGATTCAGTGGGAAGAGGAGGAGTAGAAGGAGGAAGGAAGAAGAAGAGGAAGAGGAGGGGAGGGGAGAAGAAGACATGAAGTTAGGAAGAGGATATGGTAGAGCATCAAGAAGGAGTTGGAGATCAGGTGGGAAGGATGTATTTTTATCTAACTCTATTGCATTCATGTATTAAATTAAAATAAATTTGAAGAAAACATATTCAAAACATTAAATACAAATAGTATTTTATGCATATATTCTTAATAAATGAAATATTAATATTTAAATTAGTGAACTGTGGTCCTTCATGTAATGTTTCTGCAGCTTGGCTCATCATCGGTACCATGAGGATGCTAGCTTTTAAACCACAGCCATTTCTGAGGACAGTGTGATTACTGTACTGTAGAGTGGCATATTTGAATATACATTCATTATAGACTTAAGCTTTTTATGCTTGGTCCTGAGATATAATGATGAGCCCCGAGGATGCTCCTCAAGCCCCTCACTAACTGAGTGATTTCCTGAGGCTGTGCAGCTTCCTGTTTTTTCTCCTGGAAATTTTAGGTCTTGGTGTAAGCTTTTGAGTATTTCTGTACATAATTAAACCACGATATACTTGAGAAGCAGTAACAATCAGTGTTTTCTTTAGAAGGGACAAGGTGGTGGCAAATACCTCCAATCCAAGCTCTTCCTCAGCTTCAGCAAGAAGATCCTCAGTTGAAGGCTAGCCAATTTGTCGCTGACCAGGGAAATGGTACACACACACACACACACACACACACACACACACACACACATACCACAACCCCCTCTTCCACACATAGACACACACATCCTGCACATACCCACATGTATCAGTTTGGGATATAGAACAAAATCTTCTTTCTAAAAACCAGAAACAATAGTTAATCAAAATAACTAATTTTAAAGGTACTATTTGGGAGGAATTCTTTTCTATGTTTTTATACAGATTTTTCCTTCTCTATATAATAACCTGAATTCCAAAATGTTTAAACAAACAGAAGTTTAGTTTTGTTAAATAAAAATCAGTTTGCAAAAATGAGTTTAACAGTAGATAATTGCTTCCTTCTAGAGGAGTGACCAGCTGAGCATGTAAGTAAGATGTTTTCCTCACATGGTACTAGACATGTTTGCATGATCATCTCTTGGGCATAAAAGGAGAATTTAGCAAAGAGTTCATCATAGCTTTCTTTGAGATTCAAAGAAAAATGTGCTTTTCATACACTTTTGAGGGGATGAGGAAGAGACCTTGGAGATATTCTGACCCTGGATCCTCTCTGATGGCTGATCTGTTTCCTCACTTGCTAGAGCTCCCAGAGAATCATGGTCACTGCTCTACTCTGAGACATCAGTGCTGGAATGGGGTAGGGAATGACTCCAGCACTGGGCCCTGTGCTGCATACTGGGGACATAAATCAGAACAGGGTGAATTTCATAGCAAGAAAGAAACCCCAACCTCCTATGAGAGGTACAAATCATGACATATTTAATTCTGATACTTTATCTCACAAAACAAAATTCTCCTAAATGGAACAGGAAAAAGAAACATTTGAAACAAAGAAGGAAAATAAGAGGACAAACCTGAATGAAAGCTAGCAAAGTGCATGCCCTGCGAGCGCCTCTATCGCCCTTTGGATGAGACTGGAATTTGGGTTTGAGATGTCGATCACATGTCAGATTATAGTTATTTCTGAATTTCACAGCTCCGAGTTCATGTCTTCAAAGTCAAGGCAGCTGATGAAGTTGGAACTTGTGAGTGGTGCCCATTTTCCCTGACCTGACTCTACAGCAATTATTTAGAGTATACTTTCCTGAGGCATTTTCCAAGTGCTCTGCCCAGAGAAAGGAGCATGGCCCCGAACAGAATTTCTATTTCTCAACAACGGTGACCTCTAACATTTCAGGTTTCAGAACCTACTTTGGTGAGAATATAAAATGTTATAATGTGGTTTTTATACAACTGCTACAACACAAAGATTTGAGTTCACTTTTCTGTTTCTCAGTTGTCTTCATTTACAAAACAAGAAATCAAAAAGAGAAGTGACCGGAAAGGCTTGCTTAATATACGACTAATCCTCTTTGCGTTATTCTTATGCCCAGGTCCCTGATAGTCATTTCTGCCCACAGCCTTAACTCATGGTTTTCATCTATGAACACATGCATAGATCCATTTATTAATATTTTCAGCCCCAATTCTGTGCCAATCTGTGTCTCAGATGTGCGGGTGCAAAATAGAGCGAAACCTACAAAATTTTTGTGATGGTGGGATTTACATTATAACTTAGGATAATGGAAAATGACATTGCCAAGTAAATGCAGTTATACACTGAGTTAAATGACGAGCATTGTGGGAAAACAAAGCAGAGGTAAAAATGAAAACAGTGGAGTGAGAACTCAAATGTTGCAGGTTAGGAAAGGCTGTGCTAAAAGGGTGTGGCTGTGAAGGATGGATGTGGTCCTATGCCTGCAGTAGACAGAGACAGACCTAGGGGACTGCTAGGGGAGCAGTGCGCCCAGGTACCCGAGGCTCACTGGTCAAATCAGGAAGAAGGTGGAGAAACCTTATGCAGCCAGATGGTGGCTTAAACCCACCCACTGTCCCTTAGTCCATTCTAGTGTTTTCTCACATGGAAAATACAGAAACGCAGCAAGAAAGTCACCTACAAGTCAGTGATAAGGCCCTCAACAAACCGTGCCCATGCCCACCCTCTCATTAGGGTTCTACCAGCCAGAGCTATAAAAGTGTCCCTGCTGTTTCAGCCATCCATTGGTAGCCTTTTGGTCTGGCAGCTTGAACAGACTCACATCCAGTCTCGTTTAGAGTCAAAGCCAGACTCCTTACAGCGGCTTTGAGAATTCACCATCTGGCTGCACATTAATTGATATGAGACTCTTTTAAGTTGTTTTCCAGGGAGGGCATACTGAGGTACAAAGAGATCCACATTGCTAACTGCTAAACTTGAACAAAATGAGTAGGTTAGCAGCAAGTTGGCAAAGCAGTGTATGATGATTTGTAACCCAGTCTACTCTTCTCTTCCCCAGCAACATCAAAAAGTTACTTTTTTGCCTCACTTTGATAAGCAAGAAATAAGGTAACTATTGCTTTGTTCAAAACTTAGCAGTTTGGTTCTACTGTGGCAAAGAGCACCATAAGCCATCACCTATGGAGCTCCATTGTGAAACAAGGGACTCTGTGGTCACTTGCTCTGTTCTGACTCTCCAGTCACCTTTGCACTTCGCATGGCTCTTGCACTCTGGACCATATATTGCTTACCAATGGTGGCAAAGGCACAATGACAGCAGTTGACATAATGGGAAGAAAACAATAGTATCACAGAAGAACAGTGCTATGTAAGGTGTATGATCAGTAACTACTCATCATGTCGATACACGTCATGATGGCCATGCACATGTCAACTGCCATGGTTCCCTGTCGCACAGTCTATGAGAATGAATAAACAGTACATGAGACTAGAGGTAACATGGAAGATTGGTACTGTACCTGGAGAATGAGGCGGTGGGGAACACATCAGAACAACCCCCTGGCCTTCTCTCACAGAGACTGCACTTCTTGTCCGGCCACTAAAATTTCCCAGATCTGTCAACACAACACAGCATTTAGATGTCATGTACAAAATAAACAAAAATTTAAAAGTACTGTGGAAGATTTCACTTATTTTTCTATTATTATCCTGACAATGAGTCTTTTGTTTATTTTTTAGGGTCGGGGGATCTAATAAATAAATCTATAATCACCCAGTGTTAAATACAGCAGTTTAAAAAAGTCTAGTATTCACAACAATACCACATTCTTTATGTCTGTTTACTGTGCATTCTACGTTGTCAATGCTGAAGGAAACTAAACAACACAATATTTGCACATAATGGTCATTTCTCAATACTATTGCCTGTATACTGACTCTTCAGTGAGGAAAGCCTGTCCTTCACAGCGAGGTCTACACAGTTGTTGGGGTGGCACATGCCCAGCCTGCTACCTCATTAGCTGCCATGCTACAGTGCTATGTAAAGCTAAGCATGAGTTTGCAAAATGAGAGCGACGTTGTGCTCTAGCGGGATATAATGAGGTTATGAAATGTTCTTTTCTATGAGAGTGGATGTGAACGTCATGTTCTTTCATTTTATGGAGGGATAAAACGGGACCTCTGAATTAATTATACTCATCTATTTTGGATAGTCCAGGAATATTAAAGCTATTGAAACTTATGTGTATATGAGACAGTAGTGCTGGTTCTTTTGCCTTTCACTTAATTACATTACATTTGCACAGATGGAAAACAGTCCAAAAAGAAAGTGGTCCTGAAGTGGACAATTTGTATGTATTTGTTGTTTATTGATCTATTCATCACTTCACCCACAGATACTATCTCCCTGTCTATAAAGTAGTCTGACCAGCATCATGATTTTGAGAATAGTTTCTTGCAAATAATGATTTATTTTCGTGGATAAATATTGTCTCAGGATTGAGGTCTATAGCATCATTGATAGGGGAGTTCAGCCCACAGAGAGAGGACTGCTAAACTTGCCTAAAGGTGAGATGGTCTTTCGGGGTTCCTAATTCATGAAAGAGTCTGCGAGACATTCTGCAGGACACAGTAGATAGTGACTGACCTGCCTTTGAAATTTCCTGCTTCATGGAAATGTCTGCTGGATACTATGGGCCTGAAGGCTGAAGATGGATGCTCCAATGGTACAAAAGAACTTTGGGTGACTGTCCAGGCAGCAAGATGTCTTTGTCATTTCTAGAGTTTGGAAGTTGCTTATTTCTTGTTTACTTAGATAGTATTATATCCTTCTGGAGTCTTTGATGGAGTTGAAGAATGGTTAGTTATAGTTTTCCTTAGTGATGATAAAAGATAAAATAGATATAAATATTGTGACTGTAATTCTTCCTTTATAACTGTTTTGTTATATGTAATTTTACTATGTTAAAGTTAAAGCCTTTCTTTTTTGTTTAAACAGAAAAAGGGGAAATGATGGAAGAGGGTTGACTGTCTATGTGTTACTTTCATTGGTTAATAAAGAAACTGCCTTGGCCCTTTTGATAGGCCAGCAATTAGGTGGGTGGAGTAGACAGAACAGAATGCTGGGAAGAAGGGAAGTGAGGCAGTCGCCATAGCTCTCCTCTCCGAGATGGACTCCAGTTAGACTCATCCCAGTAAGCCACAGTCAAGTGGCAATACGCATTAATAGAAATGGGTTGAATCAATATGTAAGAGCTAGCCAATAAGAGGTTATAACTAATGGACCAAGCAGTGTTTAAAACGAATACAGTTTCCGTGTATTTATTTCGGGTGTAAGCTAGCCGGGATCCGGGCGGCGGGAACGCAGCCTGCCGCTCTTTCTACACATCATGTTTCCATGATAAGATATGCTTTTTAAAAAATATTCTGCCATCCTTTTTATTGTACATAAATTAATTTTTAAAGGTTTTTCTCTATTTTATGAAAATACAAATTAGAGCCTCAAGTTAACTGTATACTGTCCTAACAGCTGATTAAATCAATCAAGATAATCTACTGGATGGATGTGAAGGAGGCAACAACTAGTTCTGTACATGTCTCCACCCTCTTATATAGTCCTGAGTATTAACTCCAGATCTGTGTGCTAAGGCAGTATAACAACGAGGTAGTCTTGTCATTCCATCACTTTGAAATTTAAAGGCAGGGTCTCATTCATTTGCTCATGCTGTCCTTGAACTCACCATGTAGCCCAGGTCTAGCATGTCTTCCATATCTCCACCTCTGCCTCCCCAGTCGTTGGGGTTACATGAAGGCTTGGATATTTTAATGAAAAATGATTTCCTTAATTTTTAAACTCACAACCAAATATTTTTCAAATAAAGTGATGAAGGACTTAGACTTAGTGAAGATATAACAGTGAGTAGAAAGTAGAATGTGGGGGAAATTGAGACATTTACACTAACTGCTTTGCTACAGGGTGAATAAGGAGGCTTTTTACACAGCAGCAAGACAGATGAGAAAGAACAATCTAGATAAGTTATTTTATAAGGTAGGGTGTCATTATTGAAAAACAAGAAAAACTGAATATTTACATAAGAAAGAAAACGCTTCCATTTGGCCATAAACATGTCTCCTTCAAGACTGCTTCTGTGTATATCTGCCAGGAATAATGTGTGTCTCTTGGTGAGCTTCATTAACACAGGCTGATACACATATTGCACTTGTATGTGTTTGTGTGCGGCACACATGCACATGGCTCATATCTTGAAATGCATACACATTGGTCCTTTGCAATAGAGCCTGTATCGTTTTCTATCTGGAAAGTGCTCTCAATACAAAGGTAAAAGTATGACAAATGTTTAAAGTTGCCTTTCTGGGCTTGCTGCCCAGAAGGACAAGCCAAGGTCACAGAATGAGGCAGCAGGTGTTCCAGGGCTCCAGCATATCCTCAGGGACTGTTCTTTCTCCCTAAACTCACAAATTTATAAAAGACATAACCTGCTTGGAAATCAACGTATTTAGTCTGACTATTAAATGATTATTTAAAAACACACATGCTTCACACAGTTATGCCAAGTCTTTGATATGCATTATGTTGCATTTTTGGTTGACTTATTGAGTTAAAAAGAATATTTTAATGTTGGGTCCCTTGAGGCCTTTGCACCCTCACTTGACCTGTCTTGCACTCTTATGGTTGGTTGTTCTGAAAACAGGAACAATCTGTTGTTCTCAGCAATGCTTCTAAGGATGTTTACCCCTAAGCCATGTGAGTTGTAGTGATGAGCTTCCTGCTTTTGCTGGCCCAGCCTCCCCTGCTGAGGGCTATATAAACTGTGTGAGAAAGTAGAATAAAGGCTTGCCTGCAGAACCTGAAGTTGTGTTGTGTGTTAATCCTGATGTCCCTCGCTCAGAGAACTACAGTTGCCATGCTGGTACACCATTTTAATAGACAACAATTCTAAATTCGAGCTTCTATATGGGAGGTTAAAGTGCAGAGATTGCCTATAAATCAAAAAGGAAGAAAGGAAAGCCACAGGATACTTAGCTTGAGCTTGCAGTGACCCAAACGACCACACTCTGCTCTTTGTGGTCACTGGGCATCAGTGTGAACACAACACAAGGCATCTCACAGAGTTGCCTGTGGTTCGCTATTTACTCAGAATCACAGCACTCATGTTACAAAGCCAAATAGAGATTTTTCAGTTATAACCACTCTTTGATGTTCAGAGATGTTCTAATTTTTATTTTGCCTTGGTTTGGGGGAGGCTAAGTACAGAAGCACAGCCTTCTACAGACTAGGTAAGCACTCCATTACTGATCAGTATTCCCAAGCCCAGATATGATTAATTTTTGACTCATAGTTCTGGATAGAGGTCAAGCAGCCACATTTGGTGGTCCTATCTTTTGCCTTCATCAGTCTGCTTCTAAAAACTGGTGCTGTTGAGTAGGAGGCTGAGGGGGCAATTTCACACCAAAGTCCTTATGATGTAGGTTTTTAGCCAACCCCTGCATGGATCCGAAGTCTCTCCCATTGAGAGAGAAAGTAGATAGCCATATTTCAATCATGAATTCACTTGAAAGTTAAATGCAGAGAAAGAACAAAAAGTTAAGTGTTTCACTTTTGTTTTTGTTTTGCTTTTTCTCACATGAGACTCTGTTTGATTTAATGAAGCATGACTTACATGGCAAACCTTCTGGCTAGTATAAACTGGGTTCAAGCTCACATAGCCTAGATTGAAGCCGACAGCACATTTTGGAGGTTATCAGGAAATCTGGAAATCTTTCAGTAATCAATCATTCAGCATAGATGTTTATCATTTAAATAATCTTACATGTTTTGTACTGAAGAGAGAAGTGAGCAGTGACAGTTTTCAGAAGTGTAGGCTTTATTGTTCTGCAGTTGACATGAAGCCTGAGTACACAGATTCCACTGGTATGGTTCTGAAACCACAGTTTGAATTTTAAACAGTAAAGAACTCTTACTGAAACTACTATAAGTCATATGACTCTCAGACAAATAAGAGACTGTGTTTGTGATCCAGAACCCAGGAGCTACAAAGTTGGCCTCTGATCTGAGCTTCCTCACTAAGAAGCACAAAACGCAACAAAGCTGGAATTGCAACTGCAGATGATAGGATCATGAAACCTTTGCATGCAAAGATAGGCCTACAATAAGTGATATGACTGACAGCCCCAGATGACAGACTGTTGATTCTGCACAAATGATGTCCTGCACTCTGGCTAGGTAGAAGACAAGTCTCTTCCTTGCTTGTCTCTATGGACACTGCGTTCCAAACAGGGCTGGGTACCAGTAATTCAGAAAAGGATACAGACTGTGGTCTAATTGTGTTGACTTGGAAAAACTTGCCATAGTTCAGAGATTTCTGGGCCATCATATGGGTGCATGAGCCTGAAATATCATACAATTGGCACAACCACATTCATGAATAATTAATACATGCCTCATAACTGTAAGGTATAAACACATGGATGCAGTGCTCATCTCTTCCTTCCTTGCTTCCTTGCTCCCTCTTCCTCAGCTTCTTCTTTTCCTCCATTTCCTTTTTATTTTCCATCTGCCTTCATAAACAACTTCTGTTAGTTACTATTTTCTTTC